GCTCACACCGGCAGGGTGGCCGGAGGGTTGTGCCTCCACCGGATAAGGGTTTCTGGAGTCGAGCCCCCGGGCCTTACCCGTAGCCGGACCGCGGCGGCGGCGGGGCCTCCCCTGGGCCTCCGCTCCCCGGGGAGGACGCGGAGCCGAGCGGGACACCGCCAGAGAGACCTGCCGTGCCTTTGTCAGACTCTGGTCTCAAAGCTACAAAAAAGAGGGACCTTGCTAATTTCTCGGCTGGCTCCTCCGATTCTAGATAACTTCTTAAAACTTATGAGCTTAATTGTCTTTTCATTAAAAAAAAAAAAAAAGTAGGCGTTGTAGTTTTCATAAAATAGTTTGTTGTAGGTGATAGAGAACGTAAGGACTTGAGTCCTTGAGGAGAAATGGAGGAAGGTTTGGGAGGGACATAAGCCCTACCTGGGGGATCCTTGTGGTCCCTTCCAACCCTGACAGATTATGATCTGTTTTAGCAGAGGACTTTAGAGCCCTATTGGCTCAATGGTTGGACTTGATAATCTTAAAGGTCCCTTCCAACCTAGAGGATTCTATGATTCTAAGCATGGCCTGGTGGGATAGGAGGCGGGTAAAATTTGGCTTAGTGCTTTTTCAGGAGGTTAGAAGGAGAAGGCAAAAGATGGTCAGAGTGGGACGGGGCTGTAGGGGTGATCTGGTGCTCGGGACAGAACTGGAAGCCAGAGCCTTTCTTTAACATCACATCTGCGGCTGACTTGAGTTTTAAGTTTTGAATAACTTTGCCAACTATGAAAATAATACTTCCTGAATTCTTTTTTAACTTATAGAGCTGTCTGCTTTTGAAATATAAATGGCTTTTTGTTGGTTGAACGCTGCATCTCATCTCTCAGCTGATCTCTCTTGGGCTTGTGTCAGTTAAGGAGAATAGCCTGGAGAGGAATCGTTGGCGTGGAGCTTCCCTGAGAGAAGCACCAGTGGCTGGGAGATTAACAACAGTTTTTTTTCTGTGTGAAAATGTTAGAAACTATCATAACCCAAATGCATGTTTGTGGTTTGTTGGTTTTGATTAGTCTGATTATTTTGGGTTGCTGTAAGGCAGTGGTGAGAAAACAATGTAATGTTTGTACAGTAGTGTTGGTGTGGGAAATGGTGTTAAAAGAATGGGAGCACTTACCAATTATTTTTAGGCAGGGGAAAAATGAGAGGATGCAAATTAACAGTATGTTTTTACTCTCACTTTTGTGCCTTCAGAAAACTTACTTGCATGAATTGGTCCTGCCAGGATCACAGTTGGCATTTAGTAGTTTCAGAAGCACATAATCAGTCTTTTGAAGGAAACTTGGGGTTTGCACCAAGTTGTAGCATTTTCTCTGTGTAAGCTTATGCTTTTGTTGCCTGCTGAGTAGTTACTCCTTATTAAATGAGTCTGGAATATGATACTCTCCAGGTAACACGTGTCTCCTTTGAAGCTAGCACTATGGCTTGGACCTTGGCTGCAGCAAGGTGTGACCTGCTTGCTCTTTTTACTGAGAGGCTACTAGTGAAAAGAAAACCAAGCCCCAAAACCTACCTTCTAGCCCCCTTTTTGCCTGTGAATGAGTATGGCATTACACTAGTTACTTGATTTATAGACCCAGGTTAAAACTTCATGTTTGCTGTTCTTGATGCTGTGTTAATTTTGTGCTGGCTTTTCTGGTTCATTTCTGTGTAAAAATATGATTATTGCTAAATAACTTGTGTAAAATTTGATACTCTGAAAACATCTTTTGATTTAGCATGTGTTGTTGCTGAAGGATGTTTATAGGCTCCTAGGGTGCCTTGTGAGGAAAAACTCTGGTTTTCTTGAAAGTATTTGTCAATAGCATGAAAAAAACACCACAAACATAGACCTGGCAAGGGGGTGTGGTCTGAAATTATATATAGGAAGTAAATCAAGCTATTATTAACAAAACTTGCCAGTTCTGTGTATGGGAAGTTTAGATTTCCAGGTTATAAATGTGAAGATCCACATCTTTCCCAGCACCATCCACATCCCCTCAGCTCTAGCCCTTGTTTTTTGACACTTTTGTGCTTATAACAAATCGTTGCCTTTGTGGGTCTGCCTGTCCCGTGTTTCCACGGCTGGGATGTGCCGTGGCGCCGGTGCCAGCGCTTTCCCCTTCCCCAGCAGGTACTCTGTGTGCATGGTGCAGAGGCGATGAATTCCAGCCTGAGCGAGGAGCCCGACGCGCTCTCCGTGGTCAACCAGCTCCGGGACCTGGCCGCTGACCCGCTCAACAGGCGGGCCATAGTGCAGGACCAGGGATGCCTCCCGGGGCTCATCCTCTTCTTGGACCATCCCAACCCTCCCGTGGTTCATTCGGCTTTACTGGTAAGTACCCTGGAGGTGAAAGCTGCCTGTCAGTGGGACGTTTTGTAACTTGGTTAAACATGTCTTTAAACAAGGGAAAATGTAAAGAATAAAACCTGGTTCTGTGTGATGCTGACACTTGAGATACATTTAAAAAAGTGTGTTTCAGAAATTGTTTAGCAATGGGACATTATTCCAGGGGAAATCATGCTCTTTGGAAGAGGTTACTTCACATTTTTTTCCCTAATGTAGCTGTATCATTTTTTTGTGTGGAGGGAGGTAAGCACCCTTAAATTTGTTTCTTAAGATGAAGTCATGAAGCTTGGTGAATATACATGATGATTTGATGTTCATATTATAAAAATAAAAAATCATGGGCTAATTTAGGTTAGAAACAATTTCCAGAGATTATGTCATCTAGTTCCATACTCAAATTAAATGTGCTTGAGTCACAGCTGATGGTTGTATCCCCTTCCTTATGCCCTCAGGATACCATGATTCAATCAGAGTAAATTCATTCACTTTTTGGAGAGCAGAGGGAACAGGACTTCCTTGGAGAGGCCACTTCAGGTGTTCTGCTAGCTTTGTCTTTGGTCTCATTTGGGTGGAAGTTACACTTGTGTGTAAGGAGCATGTAGGAGATGGAAAAGGGGCTGCCTAAGGTTTGACTTAGCTGTCAGAGAATGGGCTTTATTTTGTCCAGTATTGCATCCTTACTAAGTTGCCTGAACAGAGTAATAATAAATGAGAAGCTTTTTCCACCAGTGAGGATAAGTTTCTTTACATGAAATTTAGGAGTTCAGAGTTATCCGGGTATTTCCCCGTAGTTCACAAGTAAGAAAATAAATGCATATACAGCAATAATAAACCTAGAATTATAAAAGATACTCATCCATGTTGAGACATAGCAAAAAATCACATGTAGAGTTTTTATCATGCAGACAGCAGCCAGACCCTTTCAAAAGGTAATAAAATAGTCTTGAATTCTACTTTACATGTGCTGAAGAATTTAGAAACCCCCTCCAGATAATTAATTCCCAGTCTCTGAAGGGATTAAAGAGCATGTTATTTTTAAGCAGCTGTTGAGCAGCACAGCTGTTTTATGACCATATTTAAAAAAATAGTGCATTTCTAAACCTTGCTGTCACAAACCCCATTTTATAAACCATTAACCCAGCACTGCTGGGCACTACCAAACCACATCCTTCAGCACCACATCTCCATGTCTGGGAAACCCCTCCAGAGATGGGGACAATTACTTTAGATTTTCAATCCCATAAATGTTTATTCAAAGGGACTTATGAAAGTCATTCGTTTCAGCTTCCTGCTTGTTTTGGGACTGTCACCCAGACTCAGTGAGGTCAGTTGTAGCTTTGTCTCATTAATGCTGCAGTCCCACTGGGTCATCTTCATAGTGAAAATTTTTGTCATACCTGATTTGAGCATCCCAAGCTACAGTTTGTGGCCGCTCCCCCTGGTTATGTTGCCTGCTGCCACAGAGGGAAGTTTGGTTTAATCACCTTCATGAAGGCTTTGGGAGTAGTCGTAGGTGGCTGTTAGATTGTCCCCTAGACTCTCTTAGCTGGTATAAGCAAACCCAGCCTCTCAATTTTCCTCAGAGTTTAGATAGTTTATTCCTTCTGTGTATTGATAAGAATAAAAGACATTTTCAGTGTTCACAGTGGTTGATAATGGTTTTTAATCTGCTCACCAGGACTGAGTTTGCAGGGGCACGCTAATAAAACGGAGGGCCAAGTGCTGGGGGTGCTGCTGATTTGCTGTGGTCTCCTCCTTCCAGGCGCTGCGCTATTTGGCAGAGTGCCGTGCCAACAGGGAGAAGATGAAAGGTGAATTGGGAATGATGCTTAGCTTACAGAATGTCATCCAAAAGTAAGTGTATGCTGGGTTGTTGGATCCAAAGGCAGCGTCAACGTAACTTTCTGTTGCAAAATTAAAATTGGGTGGTGAATCTTTGTAGTGAGTTCTTAGTATGTCTTTCTTCCTTGTTGAAATTATGTGGCTGCAAGCCATTGGTGTTTTTCATTTTACAGTCTAGCAAAGTAATAGCATACAAGTGATGCTCATTTGAAAGTCATTTACCAAATAAAAGATTTCTTGCCCTTGTTGAAGGTAACTGATTTTGTCTCGTTCCCTTGTTCTTTTATAATCCTCATCACAGCACAAGGGTGCCTTGCACTAGTGCACTTAATGAAATTGTTTGGCATCTGTCACATTTATTCTTTGAGTCCCACCTTTGGGAAGGGAAATTGTTGATGCAATCTAATTGTTTTGACATATTTTTGGAGGTATGTATCTGTAGTGCTGTGTTGAGGAAACGCCTTGCAGGTGGAGTAGAAGTTAGTGAGGTTCATAGTGATCTCTAATCTCTTAAAATCACTTGTAGAGTGTCAACTGGGTAAAAACCCAAAATTTGTGACTTCTTTCTTGTTAAGATTGCTAACTGTTGAATACTGGAAGATATATGGGTTTATATACGTGGGAGAAGATGAACACATTTCTTTTGTGAAAAATTATAGAAAATAATACAGTGAACTAGGATGAATTCTTATTAGCAAAGAAAAAAAAAAAACCACCAGCCTCCTTCAAAGATTAGTCTGCCAGCACAAAAATTTATTTTCCATGAAGTTATCAAGGACCTTTAAAAAGGATGAAACACAAGTAAAATTGTGTATTAAAGATTCAAGTGGAAAGCTTTTGAATGTTTAATACGTTAGTTGATTCTTTAATGTATCACTTGTGTTAGAAGTTATAAGTTTCTTTTGGGGGAAAAAAAAACAAGACTTTGCTCCTCCTTCCTTCCATAGCCCCTCCAGGTTTGGTGGTGTCTTCTGTTGTGTGTGTCTCTCTGATGTTGCATATCTGGAGACAGGAACCTGAAGCACTGAAGGGGAAATTCTGGTCTCTTCCCAAATTTTCTGTGATCTAAAGAAAGATTAAAACTGTTTAAGTACTTCGTTAATTGTGCTGAAACTAGTGAGATTATGTATTGGGGTGAAATTCAGCGTGATGCCTAAATATCATCTTCTTATTCACCAGTTCCCCAAAACACAAGAATTTAAAAGCATTTTGGTCCATTTCAAGTTCAGAAACGTACAGAAAAGGAGAGTTAAGTCTATAAAAACTGGAAGTCTTGTAGGTGTTCTATTTTTTTTTCTAGAAAGCTCTTTGGCAAGAGTGAGAACATACATTTGATTTGTATGCTTGTAACATTTGGGAAGTGTGATATCATGAAAATTTAAATACATAACATCTTCAAACACAAGACTTTGTCATGTGCTTGTCAGGATTTTAGGCTCTAACGTTGACAGCAAATACTGAAGCTAAGTTTTGTATTGCCTGCAGAAATATGGAGGAAGATGGTAGAAAAGTGCTGAGTTATTTTTGTTGCAAAACCCAATGGTTTGGGGTTGTGTGTTTTTTGTTAGAAAGTATGTAGGGGAGGAAACAATGCTGGCCATGCATGACTGAGGTACTTCAGCTGAAAGGCTTTGTACAGTTCCTCACTTGCTAGGGCATGTGAGGAGCTGTTCACATGTCATGGAATACTTCAAAACACTTTTCAAATACAGTTTTCTCTTGCCCTGTTCTACACTTGCTCGTTCATCCTCAGGCGAGATTTCTTTTTTGTTTTTCATCCACATCTGCTTATTTTTAAATGAAGCTTGATGCGTCTTTCCATCTTAGAAACTCGAAGTTGTAACTGTGTTGGAGGGAAATCAGACCTTTAAAATCCCTCCCTGCAAGTACCAAACTTCTTTTCCATTTTCTCATGGCTGGTCCTACTTTATGGCTATGATAAAAATGTTCCACTACCTTGCCAGGAGACCAAGTGGAGGTGTAAAGTGTTTGTGTAAATAGGTAGAAAGAGAGGAGAAATTGAGGCTCATTGGAGAATGGTGTTTCATTGAATTCCAGCAGCCATCAGCAGTTGTTTAATACTGAAAACTGGTTTAGTTGCTGGCTTTATGAATTGTGTGGAGGACTTGATGTGTCTGTATGGACTTTATATAATGTTATTAGCAGCTCCTAGAATTAAAATTAATTAGTATTTATAGCCTACAAGGAAACACACTAATTTGTGTTCAGAGTCAAAGTGACTTTTGATGGACAGTAAAGGTAAAAGTTCATCATTTTTCGTAATCTTTATGAGCAGCATAATGGCTCTGTTTAAATATAGCTACCATGTATTTAGAGGGAAAAAAAAAAAAAAAACCAAACCAAAACCCAATCACTGATGAAGAGTCAGTATACAAAATAGGTCTTATTATGCAAGTGCAAATTATGGAGAGTAAAATTCCAATTACATAACCAAAAGAAATTTTCAAGATAGTCTTCCTTTGCCAGGGTGTCAGATTTAACAAGCTGAACTAAATCCAGTGCATTAATCAGCTCTTCCAATTTATTACTTGCCTAAGAAGATTAGGGCAATTAATATGTGCTTAATTAGAGTCCCTTGCAGATCTAGTAAAATACATGCAGTCTATAATTGCTGACTTTGTCCTCAATTTTAATTTTTGGTAGTCTTGATTACCTGTGCTTTTTGAAAATTTAATTATTTGCTAGAACCTGCAAAGTTGAAATTTATTATGTCTGGCAAAAAAAAAAAAAAGTAAAGTATTTCAGGTAGTATTTGCTGAAACTGAAATTGTAGGGATGTGGCATCACAGTAGTTTTGTTGCTTTTGTTGTACAACATGCTGCTTTTTAGCCTTTCTGAGGAAGGAGAATTGGTTAGGGGAAGAGAGGGCAGAGGCCATGCATTAATTAGCAGGAAAGCAAGCTACCTATTTAAAGGGATATCTGCTGGTGAAGGGGATGTTGCCATATCAGAACTGCCTTCAAGATAATACTTTAAGTATACTTTTAATACTTTTTTTTAAGTTTCATGCCCTGTTGCTATCAAAGCTCACAAGCTGTGATTTGTGTCCTGGATCTGAAGTCACAGGTTCATAAACCTGGAAAAGAATTTTCAGTACCTCTTAGTGAGTGAATAGTTTTTATTCTGGAATTGGGTTTGGTTTTTTTTTTGGCAGAGAGGGCCACATTCGTAATTGCTTTGAATGCTTCATGTTTAAATGTGCTGAGATCAGTTGGGAAGTTAGAAAATTAACCAGAAACTTTTCACTATAGGCCAGAAAAGCTGTGATGAATATCACAGGATTAAAAAAAGCGAACTTTGAAACAGTGGGGAAAAGTGTGAAGTATAAAATAACTTTAATAAAAATACATATATTTGAAGGCCTTCTGTGCTTGGTGTTTTACCAGTTTCTTCTTTATTTAGAATCTGGAGCAGGGATTAAGTGTTTTAGAAAGCAGTATAAGTTTAAGGTGGTTTTACTTCCTATTTTTCCCTGTGAGCTTTATATTAAAACAAATGTGGAACACTGAGAAACATTGGTTGTAAAAAATGAAATGGTTCACTGAGTATGGCCCAACGTTCTGATATGTTAAAAAGAGTGGAATCTTCTCTTGTGGTGGGCTTCAGTACTGAGGTGGGAGGGGAGAGGTGTCAGAGGGTTGGCAGAAGGGTCCAGGGATAGTCATGGCAACATGGGTGCTTTAGATGCTCAATAACGCCTGCCCTCAGCTGGTGTTTGAAGTGTTTTAGGGACACAGTGACCTCTGGTTACTAGTGAGTTCACAAGAAAAACTGCTGAGGTAGGTTCTTTGATAAGCTGACTTTTTTTCTGACAGCAGACTGAAATAGAGAGTGGAGAAGGCTTAAGAGGCTTTGAAATAAAGGCAGCAAGTTGGGAGGTGAGGCATTTAACGCTTGCTGCAGGAGCAGATTGACAGTGTCTGTAGGCTGGAGCCTTTTTTCTCTGAAGTTGAGTTGATGGGTACTTAGCACTGTGAGGTTTCCCATCTTTCCTTGCCAGTATCATACGTCTGCTTCTGGGTTGCAGTGAGCTTGGCCACAGGTGATGCTTCTCCCTGGTTTTTGAACTTAGTGCCCCACCAAAATTGCAATTTCTTTCTGTTAGACCCCAAAGTCTGGATTATCCTTTTTTCTATTTTTTTTTTCCTGAATGCTGCTGAAGCAAGAAACATGGTGCAGGTATGTGATTAGAACTTACATAGTTTCAGGTGGGTATTACAGGCAATAAGTGCCCCAAATGCAAATACCTTGAAAAATATTAATGGTGGAACAGTCTTCATTAGCAATTTCTAAATGGAGCTGTTACTTCAGAAGAAAGTGAATTTGTGACATGTCAAAGTGAACCTACTTTTGTTGGAGATGTCCCTGCTCACTGGAGAGGGGTTGGACTAGATGAGCTTTAAAGGTCCTTTCCAACCCAAACCAGTCTGATTTTGATGAATTTTACTCTGGAACAACTAATGTGAAGTGAATACAGTACACTGAATTAGATGTATTTCTGTTCAGGAATGCACTTTGGTAATTTGTTGTTTTGCAACAAAAATACATGCTGCAATATCTTTTTCTGCAAGAAAATTTCCACTGAATTTTGTAGGTAGGAAGTTCTTTGCAATAACTGGCAACACATTAAAATTTTTAGCACGTTCTGTAACTACACAGGACATCATCAAGTTCACACATAATTTTTGGTTTTTTAAACCTTGATGGATGCTTTGGGCTATTTTGCAGGACTGCTGTCCCTTTGGCTAGCAGTGGAGCTGCTAACACTGGCTTGCTTTAAAAAATCCATTGCCAACAAATAAGTAGTTCAAGAACATGAAAACAGTGTGTTTAAATAGTTGTTGCTTTCAAAGTTACCCACTTCAGGTCTCTGCTGAATAGATGAATATTAACGGTGAGGAAACGACTTAAGCACAGATAAGCCTATGCAAGCTAGACCTGCACTTTTTGTTCTTGCACTGGTTGGTGCTGTAGGTTAATTGTCATTATTT